CCCTGTATAGCTTTGTGTTCAACAATAAACAGATCATTCTCTGCTTACCTAAACTCCATATTAGGGTTAGAAAGTTTAAGGCTTTAACTCCGATATTCTATGTGTTATAAGACTTTCAGCAACTCGTGTAATTTATTCTGTAAACCCACAAATGTGGCGACTATAAGAACCAATAAGAAGGTGGATGAGCTCGAGAAGAATATAAGTACATATACAATACACCTATACTCCCAGGATTTCTCAGAGTAATCTGCTTGCTCTACTGCAGATGAGACTTGGCACAAGTTTTTGGTTTCGTTTTTTGTTGTTTTTTTTATTTACCAAATCGTAAAATTCAAACCGTCAACTCAAACAATCAAATAGCCGCTCCACCAATGAAACGATCGATCGTATCAACACATTAACTTGTGTATTAGCTGCGCCAGAGAAAGAAAACAAAACCCTCAACAACTCATGAGACCATTACCAAATGTTGTTCTTCACTGTGAGTATAAAGTATAGATACACTCAGAGGAACTGTGTAGTTGTTGCGGGTCAGACATAAAAACAGTCAAACATAGTGAGTCACATAAAATCTTCCTTAGCCAGTTCTATATGAAAGTATAATAATGAATAAAATCAACAACCCTTTGGTAGCATTAGGCTAGAAATCTGTGAATAAATTATTACAAACAGTTTCAGAAATAGTGTTAAATATTATATTAAATATATCTTTGGTGAGGCACAAAATATTCAGAGTGTCAGTACTGATCACACTAATAAAAAGGATTTACACCTATTGGTTAGGGCGCTGGACTCGCAATTTGCAGGTCGCGGGATCAAAATCCGTCACCGAACATGCTCTCCCAGTTGAGGAGGGGATTAAAATGAAAGTCAACCCCCACTGTTTGCTAGTAAAGAGTAGCCTAGGAATTGGCGGTGGGTAGTGTTGATTAGCTTCCTTTCCTTTAGTGAGTCTAATCTATCACTTCAATGTTCCTTCCATTAAAACCGGGTTTCGATACCCGTGATGGGCACAGCACAGATAGCCCATTGTGTAGCTTTGTGCTTAATTATAAACAAACAAGCAAACAAATCACTTCAACATTAGGCACACCTAACGCAGGTAACCCTCGAGTAGCTTTGTGCAAAGTACAACAAACAAACAAAAAACAAACAATTGACATAGACCTAACTGATCAGAAATTATAACATAATAGAAATTGTTAAAGAACAATAAATATTCACATGCATTTATTTCTAACTTTAATAAAAACGACACATCTAATAAAATAAAACCAAGAACTTTCGGGTTTGTTTCTGAACCTTTCAAGAGCTCTAGGATTTAGCTAGGGTTTTAATGTTTTCTTACATTATTTTCAGATATGGTTAAATACATGATTGAGGTTGCCATGATAGATACGTTAGGCTACATTAAAATTTACTTTATATTACAGTAATATCGCGAGGAATGAAACTTGAATGTTATCAGAACAGTATGAATCCTCTGTATAAACCTATAATTCTCACATGACTAACTAAGGGTTGATAAGACGGTTTCAACCACTAGGCTTCGCCAACATTATTTCTTTGCAGTTTAACTAGACTTTATAAGTAACTTTGATCTATATTAAATGTTTAATACGAATGTCTCTTTCACATTATTATGTCTTAAAAAATCACATTGTTATGTCTTAAAAAATCACATTGTTATGTCTTAAAAAATCCAACACTAATGTGTCTCATACTTTGCCGTATCTTAAGAGATGCAACACTAATATCTCTTTCACATTGTTATATCTTAACAAATCCAACACTAATGTGTCTCATACTTTACCGTTTCTTTCATATTGTTATGTCTTAACAAATCCAGCACTAATGTCTCTTTCACATTGTTATGTCTTAACAAATCCAACACTAATGTGTCTCATACTTTGCCGTATCTTAAGAGATGCAACACTAATATCTCTTTCACATTGTTATATCTTAACAAATCCAACACTAATGTGTCTCATACTTTACCGTTTCTTTCATATTGTTATGTCTTAACA